TTTATCGTAGACAAACTATACTGTGATTTGGATAGCGTATTTATTTTTTTCTTGCTTACATATAAATTTGTGTCCCCAATCTGGGATTCAAAACACATTAAGGTAGGTCTTTACAGAACACCCTGTTTTTCTCCAGCACACGTATACTTTATCAAACATCATAATTGTTGCTTAATACATGAAAGTGAGCATTGCTTTCAATTTTCAAGTTAAGTATAGTAACTAAAACTTGCACAAATAGTCAGTGAGATTTTAAATCTGGTCACAGTTCGAAATACGTGTTTACGAAAATGGACATGCTTGTAATATGAGAGTTTGCGAAAATGAACTTAGCCTTTGATTCCGTTTTCAAACTTCCTTTCTGAATAGATATATAATTTATTTTAAATAATAAACAAATGAATTCAAATAAATTTGCATAAATCTTTTTCTATTATTAAATTAGTTTTTTTTTGGTATAAATCAGCAGTTATTTTTCCAAAGATGCCACGGCTGCTATAAATTTAAAATAGTGAGATAAAACTTGCGTTGTACGAATTTAAAGTTTGATAACTCGTTTTCTGTTTCAATTTTGATTTTTACTGTAGAATTCTTCGATAAAATACATAATTTTGCATAAAACAAAATTTAATTCATTAAATAAAATTTTGAAGAAATTTCAATCTATTTTGTTTTCTTTCCCAGAACATAATTTTCCAAGTGTATCTTTGTTATATATTTTTTGTTGTTGATCATTTTCATAAAATTTTAAAATATGGAGATTTTAGTTTTAGGTAAGCATTGATCATACATACCCCATCTCCTTTAGGTGCTTATGTAATACTTAAACGATCCCTGCATAATTTGAATCTCAAAGCCCAACTACGTATTAACACTGAAACAAATATAACAACTTAATCTCCCCCTTTAGGTGCTTTTTATATCTCAAGAAAAGTATATTTTATTTTTAATGTGTATTACGAATTACGGCTTATTCATGAAGTTTGGATACTCTGGGTAATGCTGCTCTCCTAAGTCTGACAATATTTCTGAGAAATCCCAGTTATATTTGAAAAAGATCACTGTTTCTTTCAGACATATAAGACATGCGCATCCATTTTATATCTGTCGCTAAACAGCCGACCACTAAGTTTTAACTCCGTAGCCTTGTAATTTTGAACCAATCCAGAAGACAAGAAAACTTCTGGATCAATACCCCCCCCCAGAGGTATGTTTTGTTATGGGAACAATGGTGACTCGAAACTTTGACTCGACAGAGTCAACGTGCATCAGTCACCATTCATTACACAGGGAGTCTTCGGAGGCGGGGATCGAACCCACAACCTCTTGGACATGGGCCCAGTGCCTTACCAACAGGGTTTAGGCTGAGTCTAAAAATTCATTAGCAAAAAAGCTAAAATCTGAAAAAAAGTGTTAGCAAAATGCTAAAATGCCATTAGGCTTATAAAATTACTTTATATCAAACAAGTACTGTAAGTTATCTGACAAAGAATAGCTTAATGTACAAGAATATCAAAAAGAATACCTATAACAAAAAAAAAAACACATTTATTATTTATCAAAACATTTTGGTTTATAATTAACAATCTTCCTTTCTTTCATGTTTGCCCATTTTACAAATGCTTCTTGAAAGTTAAATGCACTTTCAGGGCCCTCAATATTAATCATTAACAAATTGTTTACATGGTTGATTAACAACCTGTTTCGAATATTAGTTTTAATCAAATTAAGGCAGCTAAAGCCCCTTTCACAGTCAACAGTGTGCATTGGTATTGTTGCACAATACTCTATAACAGAAGTTATTAATGGGTACTGTTCAGACACATCATTGGTATATAAAAATAAAAGTAATTCATTAAATGGCATGTTTTTACATCGTTTCATTATGATGTGTTTAAACAATCCCCATTCACAAAGTAATTCAGTTTCTGTAAACTGAAAATCTTTTCTGGGAGATTCCGAAAACAAATTGAAAATGCAACGGATTTCCTTTACACCATAATGCTGTAATTCTTCCGAACGATGGGGCATCCTGCTAGGTATAAATATATTGAACATTTCGATTTTATCCAAATCTCCCAATCTATCAGTAAGCTTTTTTTTAATGGAATTTAGTAAAATCCTTTAGCAAAAATGCGAAAATGCTTTGTTGAATTTTAGCATTTTTGAGGGGTCTTTTCTCATTTTGCGAAAAAAGCTACCGTAGCGGAAACCCTGCTTACCAACCAGGCTAATCCAGTCCAAAACATCCATGTTTTTTTTAACAATATTTTACAACCGTCGTTGAACAGCCGACCCAATTTTGGGTTTACGACTACTAATTTTCAACTCTGTAGAATTGTAATTTTGAACCAATCCAGAAGACAAGAAAAATGATGGATCAATATCACCAGAGATATGATTTGCAATGGGAACATGGAGGACTTTGTGACTCGACAGATTTACGTGCATCAGTCACCATTTACTACACTGGGACAAGGCTTTGTTTTATAACCGTCGTTGAACAGCCGACCCAATTTTTGGGTTTATAACTACTAATGTTCAACTATGCAGCCTTATAATTTTGAACCCAATCCAGAAGACAAGGGAACTCCTGGATCAAGTATTCGGAGAAATTAGTCTTCGTGGAGGAGTTTTTGATGGAGCTAGCCCGCATTTGCGTTACATGGAGAGGAAGACCATGAGAACCTCCCAAGGTCAGCCTGACTGCAAAGGGATTCTAACCGGTGATCCGTCTACTACTGAGGATATTTCACGTCAGCACCGTGATCGGTGCAAGCCGGATGCAGAATTCGTATCGACCAGCCATCGCCGGGATTTGAACACGGTTCACCTCATTGGAAGATGAACGCTCTATCACCTGAGCCATTGCGGCTCCGTGGATATGGTTTTATAAAATCGAAGTTCAAAAACTGAACTTTGCCTTTTCAGAGCAAGTAGAATACATTTGGAACGAATCATAATGTAGATGTATAATCAGCCAAATCTACCATCTTAATGGCCTACATTTCTTTTAGCAGTGATGAACATTGTTGGAAGTTCATTTCCATGCCTACCAATCAAAAATAGGTGGAAAGTCTCTCGAAACGTGTACAGGCTGTCATAGATGCAAAAGAGGTACAGACAGTGTATTAGAGAGTTAAAAATAACTAATACTTATTCTTTCAAGAATACTGAATTTCTTTAGTTTCAAATAAAAATGCAAATTTTTTTTTAAACCATCAAATTCTAGGGAAAATAATTTTTCCCCAGTATAGGGGTGATTGTGAGCCCAACTCAAAAATTCTGAAAATTTCTTGAGTAAAATATTTAATGACGCATTTCAAAAAAATTTATGTATTTATAAATTTAAATGATTGGTATTTTCAAAACATGAAATTGTAAAGAAATTATATGCAGCATTAATTTAAAGGAATAATAATTTATAAGTTTATTTAATCTCTAATCACTTTTATTATCCTACCAGAAAAAATATTTCCAAATGAAAGAGATGCCAAGTATATATTCTAGTTCTAATATTTTTAAATAAAATATCTAAGAATTTCTATACATAAATTTGATCGATGATTTCTTGAAACTTCTGGACCTTGGATTTCTGAAAACTTTTGGATTGCGGGTAGTGAAAAACCCAGAAATCTGGATTTTTCTGGAGCACAATCATCTCTAATTTTTCCAATTCTATCGGAAATCATTAACATTCAGTGAAACCTTGCTTAAGCGGACATTATTGGGACCGAAAAATTGTTCGTTTATGAGAATTGTTTGTCTACGATAAGGGTACCCAAATAGCGATGTTTACCACTGTAAATTTTTTTAGAATATTTTCAAGGACATAGAAAAATTAAATAATATATAAGGATATTTATTTAAACCTTTAAAAATATTTATTTCTATACAAAAAAATTTATATGAAAAAATTTTAAATACATTTAGATATTTGAATTCTAGATGTAGCTGCAGATAAATTAATATAATTTTCCTACTAACACAGATATTAAAGTTAGTCATATGATACCGAATAGGAGCTTTTAGTCCTCAGTTGGTTTCTCCCTAACACTTGGTAGGAATCACTTGATAGGAAACGTGATTAATACCTCCTTGAAAGTAAACCTCCCACGATGCACAGAAAAAAAAGCAATAAGGACCTAATGAGTTGATTATTCACAATTGATCACCTATCAAGTGTCTAAATAAATGTTTCATTTATATGAACAACTCAAAGATTATATTTCTGTTTTTTTTTGTACCCCAGCTGCGTTAAATACAGTCTTCAAATTATTAAGAAAACGAAAGAAATTTTCAGTGGTGAAGAAGCACTGAGAGCATTTAAGGCGTCATTTCAAATTGAGGTGTCTCATTACCTGTGTCCTCCTGAGGAAAAGATCAAAAGATGCTACTGTCTGAATTATTTCACAAGAACAGTATCATTTTATCCTTTTTCTTTGCAAAGACAAAACAAGGTGACAGGACAAAGATCGCTTCCTTAGTAGTGAAATAGCTTAACAATATTTTTAGTTAGGGATGAGGCAAAAAATTTACATGCTTTCAAAATGGTGAAAATTTTCATTCCCCCCCCTCGTAATTTAAAACAGAATTTTTTTTCCTGCAAAATTTAAAAAAAGTAGTGTCCAGTTTGAAGAGATAGAAATACGTTTTAGAGCAAAAATGACTCCATGTTCAATTACGGGAGTATACACTTTGCGGAGACTGTACATAATGGTTTATTCATAGAAGATTCACGGGTAATTAAAAATATGTTCATATTGAGAGGCATCTCTATTTTTCAGGAGTGTCCTTAACAGAAGGTTTCACTGTATTTGGTGCCAAACTTGCTGTTTTCTAAATTAAAGAAGATAATGATACAATATAAAGATATATTACAAGGAATCCAATAATACATTTTTGGAAGCCAAATATACTGTTTCCTAAATTGAAGTATTTAATGATACAAAAGGAAGAATCGTAAGTTTTCATACTCTAATATTAAAAGAATCACAACAGAGAGAAGACAATATTTATTCCCCTACCTTCAAAAACTGGAAGAATGTTACCCATGATTGTAAAAAAAAAAAAATATCTTGTGACAAAAATATTCCATGAAATTACTCAGTTCAATGACAAATGTTGACAGATTAACCAACCCACCTGTTCTACATTAGGCAGCATAGGTCACATATAATTACACATATAGATCACATATTATTACTTAAATATATTCATTTCTGATCAGTTTTAGGAATTTGCAGAATTCAAAAATTGACATTTTCAGTTCTGCAAGGGTTAATGTCATCCTAGAAAGCTGATAAAGGTTTCACTAAACAAATACTAAAAAGTCAAATAGAAAAACAAAATTTGTTTATCAGAATTCATAAAATATACGTTGTGTGAAAAATTCAGTAGATTAGATAATATAATTGAAACAGTAACATGGTCAATAAAATCGAAAACATTGGATTTTTATTAATATAATTTGATTCATATTTTAGATAAAAATGCTAAAATAAACACATCTAAGGGAACAGATAAAAAAAATGATTCAAATAGGCCTTCAACTAATTGATGAAGATTCTCTGAGTAATTTATGCATATCTAAGGACTTGAAACTAGAAGTATTGCGATATTCAGCAACAATGCTCCGCACCTGAAATTCAAACATTGTAGAAAATTATTAAAAAAATTAAAATTCTTAGCTTAGAGTTTTATTATTAAAACTGTAACTGCAAGAAATAATTTTGATCAATTTTTAAAATTAATGAAATAGGAACTTTTTTAATGGTAGTCTTTAAACATAAAATATTTCAAATAATTTAATTTTTGGAACTTAAGGGATCACTTTCTTTTGGATTTTCTCATTTTTTTGTTACTCTATCATCAAAAGTTTGTTAAGAACATCAATCAACAGCACTTTTCTTAAAAAGAGGCCAAAATAAAGACTTTGCTTTATTGGATTGGAAGGATAATTTCTAGAACTTTAATGATTTTTTCTAAAAAATGCAATAAAATTGCACAGTTGTTAATTTTATTTTATAACTGTTGTTGAACAGTCAACCCAATTTTTGGGTTTCTGACTACCAATGCTCGTTTTGAAAAAGCCAGATTTTCCAGTGATCTTTGATCCAGTGAATCTTTTCGAGTGAACCACTGGATCTTTGAAAAGATCCAGTGATCTTTTAATATCAAATCATTCAAAGAGGCTGATCTTGCTGCTAATACTCAAGCCTACATTTTTTTTCCAGAATCAATTTCTTTTAAAGACTACAATTCAATGGGCAATGATGTAATGACTTATTGATTTGTTACAGAATCTTTTATAATTGAATAAATAAAAAGTTCCCAAAATGAATTAGCTGATGCTGTTTCTTCAAATTAAGAGGATGAAAGGGAAGAACAGCTAAAAAAAAGACAGCTTTGTTTCTTAAATGGATGCTTACAAAGCAATTAAAACTGTTCGTTCTTTTGCTATGCGAAGTGAAAATTTCGTGTAATTTTTAGATACAGTTGATAAATTAGCAAGCATGCACAAATGACTTTTGTCAAGCATGCACAAATACGAAACAAAAACAGCTAGCTATTACGAATTATTTTGTTAGTAATCCTCTCTAATTTTTTACAATAAATCAGCTAACTCCTATTAGTTAGTTATTTTTCAATAATTGTTTTATTTGCTTTGACAGATTAAAAAAATAAAGCAGAGAAAGAAAGTATACTTTTAAAACTAGTTCTGAACTATAATGTTTTTCTTTTTTTATTTATGAACTTTATGACTTTATTTTATTTTTTAAAGTGCTTTACTTTGACATGTTGTAAGAATATTTATAGCAGTTAGTAATTTAATATAAAGTGCAAAAAAAAAGATATCAAAATATATAATAGCTTACATATTCACAATAGAATTTGATGCTTAGAAAACACAAAATTTCTGCATATTGTAAGATTCTGGTAAAAAAATTTATGAACTGATAACGTGAATAAATTCTCTACCCCCTTTCGAGTTGACATTAACGAGGTTTGACTGTGTGCGTATGTATATATATATACATAAAACAAAATGTAGTTTATTATCCCTCCTGGCGTTTCCCCTCTCTCTTAGTTTCTTACTTCATGCGGCAGACACATTTTAGAAAGATTCTACCAAAAGTGTCGAGGGTCGGACAAAAGGTATGCTTTCCCCCTTCTGCTTCAGTTTGTGGTTAAAAGGGGTGATTATCGGTCTAGGTGGTCAAGGAGGGTCAAGACAGTTTGATGGATGAATTGTGTTTCGTGATTCACTTTTCTGAAAGTCGTTGTTGAACTTCATACAATCTTACACTTTTCTCTGAAATATCAAGCAATTCTTTCGTTCTGATAAGATAATTACTTTCAGGTTATGTTACATTCTTTCTTGTCCTTAGCTTTTTCACAATGATATAGTTGAAATATAACATCAAAGGAATGCTCAATGAAATGGAGCTGAATAGATTCTTGTGATTGATAATTTTTCCTTCCTGTTTCCTGTGATTTCTTTTATTTCCCAGATACATTTGCGGCTACCGTCTAAATTTTTTACTTTAAAAAATGCGTGTGCATTTTAAATTGCCTCATTTCCGAATTCAAAGTACAATTTCGTTGATATACAAGCTAGTAAAAAGTCATATCTATCTTTTAAGTATATTAATGATATTTTTAAATTTAAAAAAATAATTAATGAGTATTTTTTCAATTATGTTCGATTAGAAAAATAACTGCTGTTTAATAGATATTATTTATTTAATTCCCGTTTTATTTCTCTTTTTCTTTGAAATTAAGTAAAAAAAAAGCTTTCGCTAAACGCTGCTGTTCTAAAGATGGAATATTGTTAAAAACGTACTTAAAACTTTTTAATGTACGTTAATACTATTTAAATAGAGTTCGTATTGAATTTCAAGTTATTTGGATAATTTATTCTTAATTCGTGTTTTAAATATTTAAGTAAAAGCTGTTCAGATTACACTTTATAAAATTGACTAAAAATATAAATTTTTATATATACACTAGTTAAGCAAAACTGCATATTTTATTGTAAATTTTCTTATTTTATTTTATAGGGTATTATCAATAATAAAGCTTAAAAAAATTCGTAACCTTATGAAATTTTACATACAAAAAATAAATATCAGTCCTGGAATTGTTGCAAGAATATTATTTTACAAGTAAATATAATGATTCGTTGTAGTTTTGTCCATTGCTGTTAAATTCAAAGGAATGATTTTAACAATATAGATTATGCAATGATATATATTTGGAAAAATAAATCACGTGGAAGTAACAGAATTTAAATATACAAAAATAAACGTAGTTATACAAAAATTTTTGGTAGTATTGGTTTAAAATATTTAATATTGATTTTTTTTAAAAATTCATCTCTTTGCACCATGTTGCTCCACGGAATCAGCTATTCCACACTAGTAAAAAATGGCGACAAATAAACACAATGGTAAATAACAAACAACAATAATTGTTTTCGGCTTATATAATATAGTTCGTGAAAAATTGAAAAAATGTGTTAAAAGGACTTCATCACTTTCTCTCCCTATCTGTTAGTAGAAAAAAACGTTGTTCTGCGTTTCTTATTCATCGAAACAAACTGACAAGAATTAGAACTAATGGTTATGACATAAAAATGCTTCTATGATTATGCACACCTCTTGTATAGCAATAAAACAACATCAAAAATGCTTTTTTTTTTAAAAAATGATAATTTTTTTTTTCAAAATTGGAAATAGCATATAAAATAAATATAGGATTTTTTTTTAGATTTTTTTTTTAGTTTTTACAGTTCGCAGCTTAGCAGAAAAAAATCAAAGAACGTATGTAACATAAGCAGAAAAATTTATTGAAATAAGGAAAGTAAAATTTTCTGCATTACTTCGGTCAAATATCAATAAATTAAAGGTCATAACAACTTTTTATTTTCTAGAAAAATTAAATTTAAAAATTTTTTTAAAAGAAAATTATTCTTAAGAAAATTACATTAAGTTTTATTTGTGATTTTAATTTATATGGGGTAAAATATATTTAGAATGATAAAACTTGTATCCCTTAATAGTCATATTTACTATTCACAAGAGTAATATTTTAAAAATATTGTATTTATAATAAATAGCAATATATTTATGAATGTTGTGGATTATGAATGAAATTGAGATTGTGGTTGGGCACAAAAACTTATTGCTTTTTTTTAAACATATGATTTGTTGGATTATGTTTCTTAAATTCGTTTATAACGTCATTTACAAATTCAAAAATATACAATTCCAAAGAATCAAAATAATGTAATGTCTTCCATTTTAGTTGCAAATATTTTTAGAACTTTTTATTCAAGTAGCGAGTTAATTTTTATTCCAAAAGCAAATTCTGCATACAAAATGCATCGAAAGATTACTGATGAAGTTAAATGGATATTTTGTTGCAGAGTGTTATTGAATTTTATTTTATTTTACTTTTAATCATAAATTTTATCCATTACTTCGATTATTTTACTTGTTAAGTTCGCAGAATTGTCGTGTACTTCATTTAGGTTCATTTATGTTTCATTTTTAATTCCAGCTTACTTTTATTCTTATTTTTTGTTTTAAGTTTATTTAAGCTCTATTTTAAGTTTTTTTTTCGCAGTCGAAGTTTAGACTTGAATTGAATTGCAGAAAATATAGTGACAAATCTTCTCTACATTTCGCATTTCTCTAACTTCTGTCATACACTTTTAGTACTATACGCCCATTTTTTTAGTTCACCTTTTACAGTATTTTTGACCATGAACAGAAAAGAAAACGTGCTCTTTAGATGAAACTGTATGATAACTCGTATGGACACTAGTATGATAACTAGTATGATATCTGGACACTAGTATGATAAGTATTGTCTAGATTATATTTACGTCACAATAAGGGTTTGTTTATCGCTTTGCGTTCCCCCATTTCAAATTAAACTTCTGAAAACTCTTTTAATAACTTAACAAAAACTTCATGTAATTATCTACTTTAGATTTCAGACAATCAATCGATGCATATTTTAGTACGAATGTCAGTACTGTAATACTTACGTTGGTTTTTTCTGCCCATCTGGATTGAACAACTTTTAAATTCGTGAAATATTGGGAGATCTGAAAGTAATGTCATTTCGATGCACTTGATATTTGTTACCAAGATTTTATTTTTTATCAAAAATGTATTCACCCTTGTTATCAACAACCCTTCAATTCCGGATCGTAAAAAAAGGGATTTTTAAGACTATCGAATATTCAATGCGCCGAAGCGTCATTACTTTCTAGGTTTCCTGAATATTTACAAACATGATAATTACAACACAACTCGAGCTTACATCCTTGAGTTTACACACACTTTTATTTGGATTTCGAATGATATTATAGAAAAAATTGTACTTTGAATCAAATTAATGATGAATTTAATTAAAAATAAAACATCTTTTAGAGAGAAAAAAATCTTGTTTGCAAGTGTTCCAACAATTAAAGTATATAAAATGTGCAATGATTTTAATATTTTATTTTAGTTACTGGAATTTTCACAACGATTACTTAAATATTTTAAATATAATCAGCTATACTTTTAAAAAAAATCGTTTTCTTTAAAATGTATATCTAAATGTATGTATATTTAAAGTGTATTTGAGTAGAATAAAATATTTACATTTACTTTGTGGACTTGAAAGAAATATTTAGTTTATTATAACTCACTTAGTTATTTGGAGTTTTAACAGCTTGTACATTTTTTTATTATTATTTATTAAGGAAATTAGAGTTTATTATTAAACTTATTTATCATTACTGAAATATTTATTTATATATTCACATGTATGAGAAATGTATTTACTAATGAAAAAAATTTCGATTTTTTTCTCTATCCATGAAAATGCTTTAATATCATTAAACTAAAGTACAAATAAAACTAGCGTTTTGAGTGATGAGATTTTTAGAAAAATGCCGAGAAAGTCTTTAACATTACAAAAAGAGGAGAGAGTGCTTTAAGAGTTAACTTCATTTGCCAGATAAAAATTTTTTAAATTTTTTTGTAAGCAACATAATACTTAAAAAAATTAACTATTTTAAATAAATTCGTTAAATACTATAGAAAACTAGTAATATTAGAAATTCATTAATTAGTTCATTAAATATTGCATTTGTTTAGACAAGAAATAATTTCCTGCAATTTACTCTAAAATGAAAAATGCTTTTTCGAAAATTAATTGAAATTTAAAAATACGAAACGATTTTATTTATTCAAAGATTTAGTATAATAAATTAAGCAATGAATATATTTTTTAAAAAAAAATTCAATATTTCGAAAGTGTTGGAGAAAATAAAAATGTAATCTGTTTTTTAAAGGTAAACTTTTGGTTTGATTGGGGTTCAAACATGAAAAAGAACGCAAACTATTCACATCTATTCAAACAGAAATATTCTAGCACAACAGTGAGTGATTTACGATGACAGCTTATACGCCTCTCAATTTGTGAGCAGTAGGAGGTTGAGGGGGAAGGAAATATTCTAGTTCAGAAAAAGACGTGATCCCCGCTCCAGACCTAGAACGTGAACCCGTACATACACGGGCAAGCCGCTTTCAGCATAGAAACCATGCCCGTGTTATAACGGGCTTGACACCAGGAGGGTTAAAAAAGCTAAGCTTTAAAGTTTTTGCACTTGCTATAATGGGAACAGAAATAAATTTTGAATAGAAAAGAAATAGGACAATTTTTGGAAAACTACTAAATTCATTTCCAGAAACTTATTATTTCTACTCTTCTAAAATACATTAACACAATTTTTTTTAATTGTTAAAAACCTGACTTAAAAAGTAAACAAAATAAATAAATATTTTTAAAAAAAATTTTAAATATGTACATTGAATATTGGTTCAGTATCTCAAAAAGGAGATATTTTATGAAAAAAGTAATATTCACAAAGTGAATTTAAAGTTTTGTAAAGATTTCAATCTCTAAGTACAGAAATCATTTCAGTAACCAAATCACCAATCAGAATGAAACAAATTTGGTCTTAAATTGGTCATATATGAATATAGTATAACTAAGGTAAAAATTGACTCAATCTGACATAAGATTGAAATTTTAAAATCTTATATTTGTCTTTAAGGAGAGATGTATGCAATAAATCTTGAACTTACCAAAGGAGTAAAAAATGCAGTTTCAATAGGTTTCTCAGTATATCTTTCATATTGATCAAGGTTATCATAGAGTTTTAAGGTTAAAGTGTCATAGTTACTCCTTACAACGTCTAAAACCTAGAATTCGAAACAATATTAATACATGAAAGTAGAGTTTAAAAAGTAGGAATAAAATATTTAAAATCTTGTGACTTGAATTGAGTCATGGTTGTCCCAATTTAATAACATTTAATAAAATTAGTAAACTAGTAAACATTATTTTAATTGATTAATTTTGCAACAAACAGTATGTGTATATTCAGTTAAATGTACAGAGAAACCTATGAATGCCAAATCTCTTTAGAAATGTGTTATGCAACTACTCTTTCAAAGGAAGATGTTACGATAAAGAATTAAAAATTATTACGAAAACAAAATTTTAAAAAAACTTAATACACAATCAGTAATAACTCTTACTCAGCAAAAATAAGCAAATCACAATTCTTATCAGAACTTACAAAATATTTGAATGGCCCCCAATTACATTTTGTAATGTTTCCTTCTTCAACACTTAGTTTAATAGATCAAGTTCATACTTAAAAATGCACATATTGACAACTGGTTAGGCCAAGTTTCTGGAGGATAATTTACACAGACCACCAGAGAAAGGATTATATGTCATAGGCTTGGTAAAGGTGTTAAATTATACTTAAGAAAATGCTCTTTATATCTGTTTTTCAGCATAAATTTTGTTGTAAGTATTCCAGTTTCTGTTGACAGGAATATCATAGAAGGGGGAATAGACACGACAGTATTTAAACTAAAAATCAGGTCGTATCACTGACATGGAATAGGGGAGGAGCAAGGCAAAATTAATTTTTTTCAGAGGTTTAATTTTTTCACCAAAAATGGGATGCCTGACTAGTTTAGGTCAAATATTTCATTATGACCTTCTGAAGCTTTTATAAGTCAATCTGCATCATAACAACTTGAGGGTAAAACAAATTGGAAAATTTAAAGTGGGTAATAACTAAAATTTTAATGGTCATAACCATTATTTGACGTTCCTCATGTAAAAGGTTAGTTTTAAAGCGAATGCCATTCATTGTGTTTGGTATCATAAATATCTGGTGTCTATTGTTGTTTAAAAGTTACCACAAGGTTTAGATAAATATGGCATCTAAAATTAATAATTGTCTTTAAAATATACACTATGATGCATAAAAGTTTTATTCACAATTTTAAAGTTAAAAAAAAACAGACAAAAAAATTTCATTAGGTAGATTTTATAACTCAAAGACTTTTCCCAAAACTTGGCTGATTTAAAATTATCCTAAAAAGAAACAGCAGAGGTTAGAAACATAAAATATTGTAATTTTTTTTTACACATAGCTATAAACCACATATTTTTTAAAATAATTTTCCTTATTTTATTTAAAAATTAAAAAAAAAGTTTTCAAAAAGTATCCTAGCAAATCCATATGATAATACATTTTGATATATCAATATGATAATAGATTTGATGTACTATTTTTAATACATGCATAATGTATTACACGTCGATGACAAAAATATTTTTTTCTGATAAAACAAAAAGAGGAAAACTTCAGTTGTTATTATTTTATCATATTTATTGCAACTATTTTCATACTTCCTTTTAATTTCTTACTTTTCTAGTACAGATAAAATTTTACAGAGTTAAAGTTCCTCTCATCATTATTCAGTGTTTACAATATCTCCTGCAGAACCACTAAACAAAACATTTCCGCTAAAGCATAAAATCTCTTGCAATTGAAGTTCTTTTTACTTTTTTAAAATGAAAAATTTCCCCTTAAATACTATTATCAACTACCATGAAAAAATACATAGATAATTTTTTCTATGTTGGACCAAAGTTACTCAGGCAAAGGGTACTAAACATTATGAGATTAAAAATAAATAGATATATGTTTTAAAATATTTTTCACATCCATGTCTATTTAGTTAATCACAGATGGAAAATATAACAGTTGGTTTAAACTTGAAGTTATAAGTGTAATATAGTTTTTGTATTTAATTTCACTTTATTGTTTATAAAATTAGTAAAATTTTGTTTATTGGAAATACTTTATAATCAATTGTTTGAAAAGTTTCTTTTTATTGTATCATGAAATCTACAGTATTTTTTTCATTCTGCGTTGACCACTATGTTTCCATTTCATATATCAAGGTTTTAATAAATTAATTTATACAATATTAGTAACACTTGCCTAAATGAAGTGAATGCAAGTAATTATGTTTTCTTATGCTTGGTCTTTATTCAAAGCTTTCATTCCTTTCCAAATTACCTTCATTATTTACAAAATCAACATGCTAAAAGCTAAGTTCACATTTCCACTATTTAAAAATGATCTTTTATCAAATTAATGTGCCTATTTATCAATTTATACAATAATAGAATTAGAAACGCTCACTTATATACAGTGAATTTATATTAACTATATTTCTACATACTTGGTCTTCAGTCAAAGCAGATAAACCATTATCTGCCAAAGTGGATTCAATTTTTGGAGAGAAATGATTTATAATTGCCCTAAAAACAATTAACAAATTAAACTAATAAATATCACAAATAAAAACGGATACAGAATCTACAGAAAGTAAACAAAATTATAATTAGAGTGAATTATTGCACAAAAAAATAAAATAAATTGATTGACAAGTATAAATTACACAAATAAAAAAAAATATTAAAAAGAGAACAGTAATACAAAGTGCTTAAACAAAGCTTCTATTTTTTAGGCAAGACTCAGTGAAAGCTAGAAATGGAATTCAAGTTGTCATAACTTAATTAAAAAAATTTAAATTGCTATGAAGATATTATATTACAAAATTTTTTATTTTTTTTCTATTAAACTAACACAAATCAACATAATAGATACAAGATGTTAATTTTTTAAATAAAGAAAATATAAACTTATTGAACTTAAGAGAATAAAAGTTAAAAATACTTCAATATGTAGGCATAATGATTTATTTAGTAATTTTAATACCTATATAAAAAACGATTAACTTAACTCATACATTGTAAAAGCTGCAATCTTAAATAGTTCTTTCTGGAAAATGTGTGAGAAGTGAATTGATAGTTTTATAGCTGCATGGCTTTAGTGCCTTTCTACAGAAACAACATTTTGGTAATAGCCATTCCAACATGTTCTGACCATAAAAATTAAGTTATCTTTATTGCTTTCAAGTGTTCCCCAACAGCAATGACAAAAACACAGCACTCTTGCACTTAGAATACACTCAACTATTGTATAAATACTTTGAGCATAAGTTACTCATGGAACATTAAACTGAAACGATTCTATGAAAGTTATCTGCAATGTTTCTAATGTTGATTATATGAAGATAAACAATCACATGATATCCAATCTGCATTTTTAACATATTGGCAATCCCCATTTTTTATGCATACTGCTGTTATATACAACTGCCTTTCTATAATTGCCACAACTTTAACATAATACCAATAATTGTGGGTGCATACCATGTCTCAAAAATTGTATGCCCAGGGCAAGTAATAAGTTCAACCAGGCATGTATTGTTTCATCCTTTTAACTAAAAATGCCCTATATTAGGGCTGAAGTGCCTCTTCAAATTTTTATTACAAAAAAAATAAGGATTTATAAAAAAAGTTAGCTTATTCTTTTTCTCCCTAGTCACACATACTTTTATTTTTTTAATGAAAGGTTTATCTCAATGGATATTCATAAAAAATAATAATTATAAAAGTTGAAATTGAAACAAGAAAGCAAAAGAAAAAATTATATTTTAATAACTCTATATTTGTTTTAATAACTCTAACATAACATATGCTTCAAATCAATTACAAAATTTAATGTTCAGGAGAATTTTTGATTTGTAAAGTTTGAATAAAATTCTTTTATATTTAATATTCATAATTTCTTTCACTGTTTTGTCTTTCTGTTATGTGAGGAGGATTATGCAGTAATAAGTTTCCTTAAATAAAAAGCCATATTCATATGTTTTTATTAATATACTAAAAAAGATCTTTGAGAATGTAAAATTTTTGTTCTGGCATACATTTAATAAACTAAATGATAAAAATTATGATACTTTAAAGTCCTGGTGAGTATAATGTAAATTGAGCATTTATAAGTAAGTACTTAAAAACAGACCATCAATTACATACACTGTAAAGCTTACATACTACATTAGCAGATATTTATGTAATTTGATATTTTTGAAATACTTTGTTATAGTGCTGTTGAGAAATTTCAATGCCATCTTCATATTAAAAGTTTTCTCTCTCTACCTTACTTAATTGTTTGGAATTTCAAGTAGGAAAATTTCGGAGAATGTTTTTTCAGTTTACAATTCAATTTTAATTCCAAATCAAATCACATGGAAAAATGGGTTTTGTTAAGAAAAGAAGAATGCAGCTTAAAATGAAACGTTATCTGTGCATAACCACCAGATGGTTAAAGCAAAAGAAACAAAAATAAATAAAAAAGTAAAAGTTATATCTTGAAAGCTTTTCGTATTAAAAACTCTTTCCTTGGACACGCTTAAATTCAGTTTCTTTTAGTTATGTCCATTTGCTCGTACAGCAACAGAAATGTTTTTTACATAATAGGATACTCATATTTACATAATGGGATAATAAGGAATTGTAAAGAGATAATTTAACAAAATCAGGATGTTAATCTCTGATTAGTTGGATGCTTAGACTTTAAATCACAACTGAAGACCAATATTACTAAACTGAAAAATGCAAAAACATTTAAACTTTAATAAGAAATAAAGTCATACGTGAAAATAGCACTTCCCATTTTTTTCATTAATTTTTAAATGTTGATAGGAAGCTATTTGCGTACCAGTGTTTTGTGCAGCAATTCGTTGATATTTTCAGAAAAAAATTACAAAAACACCGTAAATGAGGATATTTGGACTCGCTAGTGTGAAAACTGACGAATCTCAATGAGGAAATGAAGGGGCAGAAATAACTTACCTAATATTAACAAGACTATTCATTAACTTAGCAGCATACTCTTTCCATTCACCATCACAAGTTGTATATCGCAAAGCTGTAAAAATCATAAAATTTAAATATTTAATGCAATTTCATCACAGAAAAAAGTTTTCTATCCACACATTTTCAAATAATAAAAGATGCCAATCTTTGAGAAAACTCTGCTAGAGTTGTTTAAAATTTTTCTATTGTCTTCTGCATTGAAAAAAAAAAATGAGTTCGTTGCATCGGAGAAATGTCAAACAAATCCTAATAATCAAAGTAAAAAAAATATTAGATACTTTAATAGCATCAATAGAATCAATATGCAATTCTTTTTTATCATAAAATAGAGAAATCATAACTTACTAAGTGAGTATAAGTTATCAAAAACAATATTCATTCTAACTATTTCATAATATAATTCATCATAACAAGAAGGTGCAGGCAAGAACGTATCTCCAAATGTGATAAAAAGATTTAGAGTATTCATGACCTACAAATATAAATGTATCAAGTGATTAAAAACTGCAAGACGTTTTATGTAATGTGCAAATGTTAATAAAATTTTTATACAACAAGAGTAAATAATATAATTTAATTTTTTTTATGTTATAAAGATTTAAAGACTAAAAAGATTCAAAATGTTACTAAAAACAGAATATTAAAAATTAGCACAGTGTTAAAAAAAAGAGCATAACTTTAAAGACCAAGAACATCAAGAAATTCTAGGTGAAAAGTTCTTTTTATTCTGCAATTATACATTTACAAAAGTATTTAATTCACGCAAATAATTTATCAGGTTTTTATATTTAATGAAATTTTATGAATAATATAATGTATAGAACATGGAGCGAGAAACCTGCAATTTTTTCATGTTTAGGAGTGCAATCATATAATATATATTGGTATAATTACAGAACATATTATACACAGACTTACATTAAAAAAATAAATCAGAAGCAAACATTTTTCTAGAAAAAAAATATCAAATTTAATTAGACTTGTTAGAAATATATTGAAGCCAAATTTCAATACAATAATAGTCTGCTATTATGACAATTCAATATTACAGATGGAATTGTTGTTATAGTGAGCTTGTCGCTATAAATCAATACAAATCAATAAAAATATATGAACATCAATACAAAACAATAAAAATATATGAAATAGACACATTTGCATATATCCCTTATCTTTTGAACAACTAATTTTAATTTAAAAAAAATACATGACTAGAGTAGACTATTTATGTCTACAGATTAAAGACTATACTGGGAGTTTTTGTAAAATGCATGGAAAAAAATAATAAAATTAAACGCAATAGCTTTTGATATCATTGACAATACTCAATATTGATTTCAATAATAAGCTGCCAAGGGAAATAAGGGGGCATTTCATATAACAATAAAATAACATTTCATAAAACATTCAACAAAATTCTCATTCTTTTGAAATATACAGCCAGACTAGTAAAATATGCAGAATTTTTCTTTTTTAAGGAGGAACATAAAACTCTATAAACATAAATGTAGAAAGATGTCTATTTTTCTCTTTTGACGCTCGAAATGAAAAAAAAATTCTTTTATTTTGCCCTTTATTAGTTTCTTTATTAGCAATTGATGGAGACTTTGAAACTTTTTGTAATAAAGGACTTCTCATAATATTCTGTGCTAGTCACATCAAGTTTTCACTATATTAAAAATTGTGTTCTATGCCATATAGTATTTAAATCTAGGAGTGACTGCAACAGGAAAGAGAAAGCAAAGTTTGAACTTTAAAATTTCAAGTAAAAAACGTAATCCCAACAATTAGCATTGTATGGTGACCATGAAACCTTAAAATAATGTTACATAACAATAAAGTGAGCAAGAAAAAGGTGAAAACATGTAGCAAACTGTACTAGATTTATTATATAAATGTTATATTAAAAATGCATACCATATATGAATGCTTCATGAAAAATAATTTGATTAAATTCTTTTCCTGTTTTTGAAGTACAAATTTTTTTAAAAATACTAACACTCTTATTACTTTTTGATTTAACATAATTTGATTAAAAATCAAAAGAAGAAATTTCACTATTTTTCTTATTTAAGGGTTGAATGCAATAGAAGAATAAGAATAAAATACATAAGAAATTGATTTTCAGCTTCGTAAAAAAATAAAAACAAAAACACATTTTTATTAATCTTTACAGATTTTAAATTTATATTCCTCTAAAATTGATTTTAAAGCATATACTGCAATAAAATATAAAGAATAAAATTACATCAGAGGTACATCTAAACTAAGGTAAACAACGTTAAAAAGCACAAAAATATTATTAAATGCAGACAGCTGTTTCTTATGCTCAAAGGGCAACCTTCATCAGTGCAACTGTTGCACTTCTTAAACGTAGTTTATCTTAGTTTGTATTTTAGCACAAAGGTTTAAATTTATATTTCTCTAAAATTGATTTTAAAGCTTATACTGCAATAAAATATAAAGAATAAAATTACATCAGGGGTATATCTCTAAACTAAGGTAAACAACGTTAAAGAGCACAAAAATATTATTAAATGCAGACAGCTGTTTTGGATGCTCAAAGGGCAACCTTCATCAGTGCAACTGTTGCACTTTTTTAACGTTGTTTACCTTAGTTTGTATTTTAGCACAAAGGTCACCCACTTGTGTATGTACATCTCTAAAGCTAAATTGCTACAATTTAAACTTTTCTTTCAATATTTTTCAACACACTATTTACAAATAATCACCAGTTTATAAAATAATAGAAAAAAGTTTATTTTAATCAAGAGAAAAAATTAAACATGTCTATATACTTGAAAAAAATATTATTTTGAATGAAATAAATTGGCAATCAATTAAATCTTTTTAAAATGCTATTATATAGATCTAAAAATATGTTTAACATTATAAGATGAGTAAAAGAAAATTAATAACTATTATAAGTAAGCTTACCTGAATACATAAATGAAAAATGTTGCAATTCTTTGTAAGCAACCCTTCTTGAGTGACAAGGAACTTAATTAAACTAATAAGAGCTAAAAAAAAAGGGGAGGGAAAAACAACTTTATGAGGAGATTGTTAAAAAGATTACAAGCAGTTTCATATTTTAAATGTTTCTAGTAAGGGAACAAAAGTAAATAGGATATGTTTGAAATATAAAATGGTAGAGAATAAGTTCTGAAATACTTATTTTAATATGATAATGAGTTTTCTTTAATCTTGATAAGAAACTCATCTACAATATCACACTGCCTTCAACAATATTACTTCACAAAATAAAGTTATCTTTTTCTAAATGTTAAAGTCAATAAATTGTTAATTTCACTCAAAGCACAAGATAATTACCGATTTTCATGCTTGATTTGATTTGGACAGTAATGATTTATATAGTTTAGCCTCAAACATTTATTAAATTACTTTGTATTTTATACAAAAAGGATACGGTATACTTTGTGCTATGTAAAAATAAAAAAAACATGAATAGAGCACAAATGAAAGAATAGAAATAAACATACTATAGTTTGGTTCCATAAACAATAATCTTCCAAGAATGCTGAACCTAAACAAGAAAAGCTCCTTTACCTTAAAGCTAACACTGTAGACTGCAGTTTTCCTTCTAATATTATTAATCGCATCAATTCAAAATTAATCAGGCCATCCACCAAACTGTCTAATTCGAATTTTAAAAATTTGATTGTTTTATATTATTATCTGAAAATCAGTCCTTGATTTGTAAATATTTTGAATAAATTTGAGTTTAAAAGTTCTTCCAGGTAACAATTTCACCAAACTTAATTACCCTATTGCTGATATTAATAGCTGGGGTATTAATTGAATTTTGCGACAATGGGTCTTGCACATATTGGACAATTTAAACATACCCTTAAACTTTGACTTAAATAAGATGAAAGACATGTCAAAAATAAAAAAATTACCAATTTTCCATAGCTCTACATGGTTGGGATTCTAATCATAGGTTTGAAATTTCATCTGTTAATGTCATTCAACACCTATCTGCAACTACCAAACTTTATCTTTAGGAATCATTCTACCTTTTGAAAAATTCTAATGAGTTAGTTAATGAATTTTCTATTATCCCAACATTTCCCAATATTTTAAAATCGATTTTAATTTCATCTTTTGCCACATCTAGGGTTCCCCCCAATCCCCCTCACACTCATTTCTCTTCTTATATCAAGTAGTTCCTCTAACCCTATTGGTTAAACCACTTTGCACCTGTTTGTCTCTTTACTTCTCAACTATCATTTGCTGTTTAAACCCCGAGAAAGGTTCCTGTTTATAGAATTGAAACTATAGCATGTCCAACTCTATGCTTTCATTTATGCTTTATTCATGAATTACTTTGTTTTAGTCTACAATGTTTATGAAATTCACTTACATTTTTCTTATTCACAAAAGTGCTTAAATGAAATAAAAAAGTTAAATATTAAATGTTTTTAGATGATGATTCAATGTTTCCTTGGTGGAATAGCAAATGTAACAAATTTAAATGTTAACATCAGTTAGGAACAATATTCTTATTCCCCATATAGGTTTTTCAACTCATTTTAATATCTTGTAAAAATTGATATATAAAGTGAGAGCATGTATTGTAAGAGATAATATGAATGGTAAGAAAAACTTATGTACAGGTTTTTCTTACATTTAATAAATTCTCAGTTTATCATTGAAACAATGGGTAACTATCCATCATTTCATCCGTTTTTTATGATAACAGTTTTAAGTCACCTTTTGAATGTTATATATTGCAACAAAATTCTGATTATTATATATTGATTAAAAGAGACATTAAAAAAAACTTTTACAGAAAAGAAAATTTCAATTACCAGTCCATAATTCTTTCCAGTGATATTGCAGTCTTACTCTGCCACGTTTCTGATAACATAAAATTCTATGGATGACACCTAAACAAAGACTGTAGAACAAACCAACATTATAATCTACTTATTTATATTAATAAAAAATAATTTATATACAAAATGATTTCAGCTTAAAAAAAATGTGTTTTAATATAAAATTAGCTTAATTTTTTTTAAATGATGCTTCCCGCTTCAGTGTAGATCATAAAATGATATGTATTGTCAATTAATTGCTCTACTGGCTTATTAGATACTGTGTTACTGAGTTTAAGTAATGTAGTTACAAGACATTCAATTTAAAGAGTGAAACTTTCAGTTAAAAAAAAATTTCTGCAGTTGTCATAATTGCAGAATAAAGAATTTAATAAAATTGTTTTAAATATAAATGTAATGACATAAAGTAAATACAAATAATCAGGTTGAAAAATAAATGAATGTAATCTGTTCAAACGAATAACCAACTTATTTAACATGCTAAAGGAAGCAAACTTTTAAAATATATTCATACAGGCCAGATGTTTGAAAACTAAAGAATTATTAAAAGTAATCCTGGTAACCAAAAATTAAATAGTTAAAAAGTGAATTACTAGGTAGTGATATATAACATTACAATTTGTCATCTACATTTTTAATGATATGTATTATTTTACTTATTCCTGATATTTTGTTGTTATTTAAGTAATTCCAATGCTAGGGATTAAAACTATAAAACGTTCGTTTAAAGGTAAGAAACTGCAAGAAAAAAATTCATTTCAAAAGAAGGCAGTAGTCCAGAAAAGTTTAGAAACTTCAATTTAAATGATGATTAGAATATTCACAAATTATATATTACATTTCTACAATGCAATGGAAAAAATAAAATACAAAATATTAATAATAAAACAATTCTAAGAAAAATAAAAGATATTAAAAAGACATGACTTGTGGCATAAAAATATGTGCTTTTAGTTATTTATTTCTCATAGAAATACAACATATTCTAAAAATATAAAATGGTAGTAAAAAATATTTAAATATCGTATATAAAAGAAAGTGAGGTAAAAAATAAAGATATCTGACAGGTAAAAACAATTAGCCTTGTTTTACTACTTTTCTAAGGTCAAAAGAGGTACGGATATTTTTTTGCAACTTTGTAGTGCCATTGAAATAAACAATCCTATAATTGCCATCATCTACTTGAGTAAATATTAAAGATGAAGTATCAAGTGAAATTATAACTTACTTTGAAAGAAGGAAATGTTGTTATTTAAGGGTACACCAAACAGCACAAAGGGGAAAGAAAAAATAACTTAAATATATATTACAATAATTGTTATTATAACTGTATATTCTAATAATATAAAACATTAATAAAAAATACTTTAATATTGGATAAGAATAAAAATAAGATACAAAATAAAGATATCTAACAGGTAGTAAAACATTTGCCTTTTTCTTTACTATTTTCTGAAACAAAAAAGACGGTATGGCTATTCTTATACGACTTTACAGTATCATTAAAATTAACAATCCCTTCATAGTCATTTCAGTCATTTATTTGAACAAACATTGAAGATGCAGTCTTAACTGAAATTACAACCTACTTTGAAAAGGGAAAATGTCGCTATTTAAATGTACATTAAACAGCACTTTATCAAAGGAATTACAACTTTAAATAACACTAACAAAAGATTACTAGTATGAAGAATAGAAAAGATAAAATAAAAGAAACAGTATTAATATTGTTGTATTTTATTTGATACTTTGTAAAAAGCATTTAAACACAAACAAAATGAAAAAAAAAAAACTAAGATGATAGAGTACAGCCCTATGCATCTAATCAATTCAATAAAATAAATTTTAATTTTCAAACAATTTCTATACTAATTATTAATAAAATTGTTAGAAAAATATGTACTCTTTCAAAATAATTGTTTAACTTTTTACTTAAAATTAGAATAGCTCAATTTTCATGTAATCTCCAGAAACAATATATTTTGACAGCACATTGCAAAACCACTGAAGCTTTGATTTTTTCTGTTGATTTTAAAAGTTGTAATCTGTTGAGAGTCATTAATTGTTATGGATTGTTTAGATCTTCCAGAGGAAACATTTTTTCCTTCCTTTCTGGTAATCTACTTCCTGAATGTCAACTGTTTTTTTATATCTGGCCTGACTCTGTCAGATATAGTTGGAGATTAGGAACAACACTTAAAGCTTTAAATTAGGAATAAAATAATTTTAAATAAAGATTTACTGTCTAATTTTTGCAACAACTAGAAGTTTCTTTTCACCCAAATTTCTGTCAAATTTAAAAAAATTGTAAATTAGCTTCACTTATATACCGTTTCTATGCTATTTTGCCTTTTATGTAATTGTTGATCCTAATTGGAGAAAACTTGATGGTACCAATATAATTTTAGAAAACAATTGTAGCCAAAATGGATCTAATATGCAACGCAGGATCTTTCAAAGCAATTCTCTGATGCAGGATAAGAGTGTTCAATAGATGCCAAAAATGCAGTAACAAGTTCATTTCCTTATTGAGGTACACATGGAATACTCTTTGAACCTAGTAAATAAAGCTTCAATTTTACCCCATGTTTAGTAGTAATTCCTTCTTTTGAGTAGTCTTTTTAACATCGAGCAAACAAGTCATTGTTTTGAAATGAACTTTAAATAAGAAAACTAAGACTTCACCCTGGAAAGTGAAACATTTGATTGATAAAATTGCTCTACAATATGCAGAAAAATCATTTTGTTTAATTGATAAATAACAGTGGGAACAATGCTTTTTTTTCTGTTACATGTGTTACTTTCATATGATTAATTTCATAACTGCCATTAGTTTCTCTCTCCAAGATAGTTTGTTTGAAATGACATTTTTAGTCTATTTTTTGTTGTTGAAATATACAAGTTTAAAAATGCTTTGTATAACTGGTAGGGGGCATAAATGTTGCAATAAAATTCTAGAGGAGTTAGGGCACATCATCAGGAAGAAAACTGCATAGGAACTCATGCCTGGAAATGAGAGCATAAGAGCACTTGCCCTAACTCTCCTAGAAATTTATTGCAACATTTATGAGACCCTGTTAAACATAACGTTTTTAAACTTGTACATTTCAACAAAAAATGTTATATAGATTAAAAATGTTATTTTAAAAAATCTGTAGCCTAAGCAACAAAATTAATCTCCACACCTGAATTAGGCACAATCAAATACAGTAAAACTTGTGTGAGTTGACCACTTGTGGTGCATTGTTTTAGTGGTCAACTTAGACAAGTGGGCAACTTATTGAGGGCTGGGTCATTGTTTACTTTTTCGTTTCCTATATCATGTTGCTATATATTTAAAATTCTTTTTTACTTGACTTAAAAATTTTATTCAGCAAATAGCCAAATAAATATCTTAAGAAATGTGTTTAAACTTGAATGAACTTCAATTTGTTACATATAATTCTAATATTTAACTAACTTTTTAAAAAAAATTATTTCGTTAGTTATGCATGTGAAGTGTTTAATAAAAATAATTTTTTAAAATATCAGAACACGAAAACATGTAAATTTGAAAACTTTAACAAAACAAAATTATTTGAACACTTTAAAATTTATTCTGCTATTACTACATTTACAAACCTATTTGTTACAAAAATATTCCCTCATTGTTGTTTGGTGCTGTTGTTTAGACTTTACATCAGCCCAATGTTTTGAATGAAAGAAATGGTCAAAACCTGACCCCCTACAGTTTCCCCAGATGGTCAACTCACAAAAGGGTTTAGATTAGCTTTTTACACTAATTCACCAACATTCATTTCATTTAACATACATTCCAAAATGACAGAAAATTTTCTGACTTTCTTTTTCTGGTCAACTTATGAGGGTTTTAGAATGGAATTTCATGATACTCCTAGACAAAATTGACTTATTTCAGTGGTCAACATACAAGATAGACAGGTGGTCAAGTTATAAAAGTTTTGCTTCTTTATATTATATAGGAAAAATTCCGTTCTTGATAATTGAGGTCAACTTATGCAGGTGTCCAACTTACAAGGGTGGTCAACTTGGCAGGTTTCACTGTATTTGTTTCGATGCAACAAAATATTGGTCTCAAAGCTTAATATTTTTCCTTAATAAATATAACTTAAATTTAATAATTTACAATCTCCATACATGTGTCTTTAGTGCATTGATTATACTTATTTCTGCATTTATATGTTGACGCTTGGTGAGAAGTGGAAAAACTTTTACCTCTTATAAGTTAGATATAGCTCTAACAGTTGATCTAATAGTTACTTAAATTTAACTTTGACTCACGCATCTGCAAACTTTTTTTATTTTCTTAAATAGTTCCAAATATATGGTCAAATAAGTAAAAAATAAAATTGATTTTTGAGAACCGAAATTTTTGACAGCTCTCTTGCCTGTATTGGGACTGCATTTTCCAAATTGCAGGATGCAATATTTTGAAAGTTAAGAATCAAATTAAACAAAAAAATTATGTTTGCTAAGAGGAAGTATTTTGATATATCTTTTTCATAATTTTAAGTGATTTCTTTTTCATAATTTGAGAGAATTCTCAACAAATTAATTAACATATTTTAAGTTATCCCTTTGAATCATTAAGATTACATCTTAGCAAGAAAAAATTCAATTGTTAGATCAAAAGTTACTAAAGTTTTTATTCTGTACACTGTACATTAATAGTACACATGAAATATTTACTTAGTTACTCAGTAATTAAATTGTTACTTAAAAAATTATAACCAGATATTTATGCAAGTTTTTTAAAGTAGAGAAAATATTCCATATACAATTTCAGTTTAATACATTCAAAGAGTTTTATTGATTTCAGTTTATAAATAAAAGTTATAAGATTTTTACATAATTCAAATATCAGTGGGTGCTATTAGGATACCAAAACCATAGAAATGTGTTCTGAATTGTTAAAACCACTGCTGTTTATAAAGGGTTGAAGGAGATAAATTGGTTTACAACATATACTCTGATATTGGTTTACAACATATAAATGATTCTGAGCCTGGTAAACTAGCTGTGATTTTCGTAGAACAATATTAAAGATATTTGGAAATCTTAACAAATAAATTTATCTTGCAACTCTTAAGTATAGCAAAATTACAAAGATAGATAGACATAGTAATGAGCTTACTAGTAAAGTTCAAAAGGTAAAGATTTTGTCATGTGACTTAGGATGAACTCAACCATCAGATCTAACATTGGACAAGCTAGAGGTCTATAAGGACCATTTTTGTCATAAGGCACTTTCCTGTGCCTCATTGGCTAAAAAATAATAAAAAATTCTTTATAGTATAAAATATTGTAAACAAATTTTTAAATGACACTCATTATCTAGTTAATGTACAACAAAATCACCTTCTTTAATTCAAACAAAATACACTTTCAGTCTTCCTCCTACATTTTTTCTTAAAACTGAAAACTATAGTTTAATATTAATTTGAAGGAATAAAAATATCAAGTTTCTGAAAAATGTTTCTTTTAACTTTTAGCAAAAAGAAAAGAGTTTTTTTCTAATTTTTTAAGTTAATATTTTAAGTTATCACCATATGTATACACTGGTGCATATATACACTGTATCTGGAAAATGTCCTTTTCCATGTAAATTTTATTAAGTGATAGCAATAAAAATAAAAGCTCATCAAGAAAAAGTTAAATTTATCTTGTAAGATAATTAAAAATAAAGTTACCATTCTGTGGAGCTGTACTTTATAAACTAAATTGACATCATGGATAATAGAATTTGCATATTGGTCCTGAAATAAAAAATAAAATAAGAGACTAATATGATATAATTCTTAATATTATTTGAAAACAGTATAATTAGGCTAAGAATAATAGCATAAAACTGTGACAATAAATTTATCAAAGAATAAAAAAAAATATTAAAATAATTCTGGAATAAAACTATTAAAATAAAGTAGACTACTCTCTATTCTAATAATAATTGTTTACTTTTTTAAATGTTAAAAATTAAGTCTATCAACTAAAAAAAATTGTTATTTGAAAAGAAAAAACATGAAATTAAATACTGATGATTGAATAACACAAAACAAGTATTTTTGATAACCAAAAGAAAACTATTCAACAGCACAGTAAAGAAATACTGACCTCAGTTATACAAGTAAGTATAATAAAGCAAAGTTTGCAAGTATTCAGATTGGATTCATCTGGAAAAGCAGAAAAATAAATTTTAAGCAAGAAAGAAAAGAAGAAACAACTATGTTTTGAATTCAAGGTTAAAACGATAAGTAACAAAATATGAAAGATATAGTTTAATTAGAATTTTAGAAAACCTTGGAGACATCTTGTCACTATTTATTAGGATATTTGAGTCCTTTCATAAAATCTAAAGGTTCTTTAAAGAAAAAAATCATGATTGTATTTAACAATTATTATATTAAAATTGTCTTAGTGTAAGGGTCACATCAAAGATAATCTTCTTGCTTAGGTCTGAAACAAATAATGCTGGTTTGAAATGAATTCCAACATATAATAACAACACATTTCTTTCAAACACACTTAAAATAATCTAAATAATGTTTTTTGGTCATGATGAAACATTAGAATCAGGAACTTTACTTTTTCACTTCAAAATTTATTTTCAAACATGCATAAAATGTTTCATGCTCGGCTTTAATTTTACCAACTGAGATATTACAATGCTCCTTATATGTGTACACAACACAACTGTGGTCAAGCACATAGCACTGTTTTTTAACAACTGCCTAGAGCCTAGTAAGATTGCTAGTTTTGACGTGAACTCGGGTGCTGTTCATTAGTCAAATGATGTGGACAATTCCTGAGCTGGTACTACTTTCTCTAATATTCTACAATGAACCTATGACACAACTGTAAGACAAATTTAATGTGCACAGACAATAGTTGTTTAGTTGGCTTCTGGGACTTTCTAGGCTTGAGGTAACAACAGTTACTACAAAGTTCATATTAAATATTCTCAGTGATAGATGGGTTACAGCCCCTTTACGGTCAAGCTAACTATGAAACTTTTTTGTAGTTTTCCTCTCTATGCAGAGCAAATGCAGGTAAGTTCCATCAAAAAGTCTTTAACAAAGACTTGTTTGTCCCAATGCTTGATCTAAGAGTTTCCTTATCTTCTAGTTTTGGCTTAAAATTACATGGTTAGGGAGTTGAACATTCATAGTCGTAAACCCGAAAATGGGTCTGATGAAAAAGGCTGGTAATAAAATGAAATAGTTGAGTGCCAAAAAGTTTTTATAATTTTGGACCATGTTTTACACTTAATGATTTGAATTGACATATTATGAATTTTAATGTAGTGAGCTTGTTTTGTAACATTACAACTTCAATGTACGCTAATATAAGTAACTTTGTTAAATAAGTACTTTTTTTTTCTAAAACAATTAGCTATTTTGTCCCATACTAAAAATAAATTTCTTTAATTTAAATAGTTTTTAATAAAGTTTTTAATTTCTTAAAAACATTTATGAATATGTTCTCTTTTATCCACAACTAAAAAAATAATATAACAGCATAATGAGACATGATTTCTTGATTTATGATAACATGATTTCTTGAGAACCAGGCATTAATATTCACCATTCTTGTCACAACAAATGCTAATGTTTGTTTAATTTATTTGGATTCTACAGAGACAGGTTCAATACGAGTCTTAGGTTTAAAACTGAGAACTTTTATTATTAATGTAACAAATTTGTAATATGCATTTTTTCAAAATTAGTGGCTTAAAAAAATTTATTGTTTGTTTGTCAACATAAAATCGATTTAAAAAAATGGTGCCAAGGTACAACATTTTGTTGCAATAGTGAAAGCCTGTAATCTTCATTAAAGCTAATATCTCGTAAAACTTTCCAATTTCTTTGCTTGATTGAATGCTGCTACATATAAAAAAATTTTAAATGTGAAAGATAATTATTGTTTAAATCACTATTCTGATTTTTCATTGGTCGTATTTCATGAGTTTAACAGACATATAAAGGAAGCAATAATACACACAAGTAGAAATGCTATAAAAGATGAGCCAAGTAAATTTTAAAAAAAAATCAATATCAAGGATGCTAACTCCTTCTGTACAAAGAATTAAGAAAAACGACAAGCAATTTTTCTTTGTCAAAAAATGATCTAAGAGTCCTAAAAATTCTGAAACAACAAGTCAGGAAATAAAGATAAAATACATCAGTCACTTTTGAGAAATTTATGGATGGTCTCCCAGTTCAACGTATCAATTTGTGCAATTTTAAAGATGTTAATCAAGCTACCCAACAGAAAGGGCTTTTATCAAGGCGATACAGTCTTATTATTTAATATTTTTATGCAAAAATGGGACTCATAGTAAAACATGACAGCGTAACTATTAAATTTTGTATAGTTGTAGTATCACTCAAGTAACAAAAAGCAGCCAAAAAGGGCACTTTCAGATAAATTGCAACAAATAAGTTTTACCTGTAACTATATATTAACATTAAGAAAACAAAACAAACTTTTAAGTTTAACTTTCGTACCTTTTGTATTTAACATGACAATGGAGGAAAATTCTAAAAATGTGACTAGCAAATTTGATGGAGGAAGCTCATTTTCTGCTTTTGGAGGAGCTAAAAAAAGACAAAGACATTTAAGTTTAGTTAAAAATAGTTTAGATTGGTATGATCGAGTTTAATATTTGGTATTTTTGATTATCAAAATATCTGGATTATAAAAAAAATTAGGTAAAAAGTTCACAGTACTTGCTTTCATAAAAATTCCTTTATGGTTATGTAAATAATAATAAACTAAAAAAATATATATATGTTATTTTAAAACTTATTTAATTTATAAGCAAAATTGCAAGACTGTGAGCTTCTTACTGAAGGGGAAAACAAAAGAGAACATACATACCAGGAAAAAAAAGAGTTTTCATATGAGGGAAAGATTAACATGTTTTGTTTTGTTTGTGCACAGGAGTACTTGATATACTCACATTTGAATATGTTGTTTTATTACTCAATTATATAAATTTTATTTCTTTTTAGTCACATTTATGTCTTATTTGTTGGATTATGTTTTTGATTCTAAAACCTACTTATAACATATAATAGTTGTTTTTTGAAAAATAAAAACTAATTTTTTATTACATGCATAAATATTGTTGCTATTTTAGTCAGAGATTATCGTAGCTTATAGAAATTCTTCTATTGCAAATCAAATAACTTTCTTCGGAAAATATATTTTCTTAAAATGTAAAAAAAATATCAAGAGAAAAAAAAAGAAAAATCCGTTCTAAAAATTCTACTACTAAATCGTCAATTTTTATAATAGAAAAACTTTGACTTGTGACTGCTTAAAACTAGAGGTTCAACATGAATGTGAACCAAATCAATTACATTTGCTAAATTCAGCTAAAAAAAGTTCTTAATATCTTAAAATTTTAGTATTTTAAGTGTCGCTTGCTTATTAAAACCCCTAAGATAATTTACAAGATTTGTAAAATCCTACATTTTAAAAAAGTTCATCAACCAGATTTTATTACAGACTCAGCTTAGAGCATACTGTGGTTGTTTTTTGTTCATTAAATATATTTTTCATTTTGTTATTTAATGCAGATGCAATTTTAAAAAAAAAAAAAAAAAATTTCTTCATAAATTTGTCTAGATAACTTGATTAAAAAGTTTAAAAACGAAATAACTCTTGATAAGTTTTCTTTCCTTTAAATGAAATGTTGATACATAAAAGATTGCATCTAATTTAACTACATAATCTATACCTAATGCAAAATATATCATTATAAGCTTATAAATTTTAGAATAAAAACATGCCTATTTTAGGCTATTTAAAAAAAAAATGCAAATTGAGGCAATTGAAATAACACATCAAAAATTAATAATATGTGCAATACAAACATTATTTGATAAACATTAATGTACTTTTATGAATATAAAACTCACACATGACAGTAAAGCTTTATAGACAAAATTAAAAATAAATTTAACAGTGAATTCTTTTTTTTCTTATAATTAAATTAAATTTTTTGCTTGATTTCTCCACTAAGCTACCAGCAAAAGTTCGAGAGCTGCATTATTTATCTTGTATTCTTAAACCTTTAACCAAATTTAAAGCTTTGAAAATAAAACATTAATTTATATACCCTACAAGGTAGAAGTCAAAATAAAGTAGAGACTGACTGTATGGTGACCAGCAAAACATTGCTTTTTAGATTTAATTTTGTAGATCCCGTTTCATGCGAAGAACTTAAACTTGTTAATATTTAAAATGTTGCTTCTAAAGTTTCATATTAATACTACAGTTAACCTTTAAAAGATTGTGTCTACTAATTTAATTACTTAAGTGCCAATAACAAGAAAAAACACAAATACAAATTCTGAAACTGTAAAACTTTACTGTTAAATGTATTTTAACCACTTTAGCATTTCCTTTACATTAATAAGCTGATATTTTACTAACTTAGATGTTGATCTTGTAAGATCAAATCATCATAGCAAGTCATCATCATATCTCTCATCATTATGTATTCTCGCCTCCTTTTAATAACATCTGTATGCATTTGCTCTCTCTAATTTTTATTCTTCATTAAAACATTACCTTACATATTTGGGGAACACAGATCATGCTTTCCGATAGTTTTTTAAGCAAACTCAAAAGCTTCCATTTTGTTAGATAACTTTTGTTATAATTTACACAGGATCTTGCATTACCATTTTTAACCTGTTACGTGATTTGCTACAAAGGCCATCTTTTAAAACAATTTCTCTGCCAAGCATAGAACCTAAATTTAATAACGTGAAGAAACCGATTTTTTGTGGAGAAAAACAAATAGCTTGAGTTTTGCACTCTGTTTGAAATTAACTATTAAGATTTATTTAATTTAGCTAGATTTGTTAAGTCTTATCTTATTGTTATAAATAAGATAAGACTCTCACTTCTGCTAAAACCTTCCATTTTTAGTTGCTTTTAAAATAACATATGATCTTTTCTCCATATATGAAAAGCCCTATATCTCTTACTTATTTCTTTCATTAGCTAGATAAGACCAGAAAAAAATAAGATAAGATTTAAGTGCTGAGTTATCATACATTAAAAGGAACAGTCAAAAACCTTATAAAAAAAATTCCTCAAAAACTTTTATACTACCAAATAAGAGAAAGTAAAATACAGCCTCACTTTGTCTATCTAAGTTGTTAAGTGCATGATAAAATATTCCGCATTACAAATTTATTCGGTTCAGAGTCAAATGTTCAAGGATTTCTATGAGTTATATATTTCAGCTATGTCTCAAAAAGAACAGTTGTCTTAAAATGAATGAGGCTAAGAGAGCCACAAACTGCATAGAGGAAGATACCGAGGTAATAAAGTGGGTAAATTGAATAAAGTATATATTAGGTTGTGAAATGAATGCAGACTTCAAAAATACTTTATTGCATGCTTCTGAATCATGAAACAAAGCTTCATAAACCATTGCAGAAAACATAAACATATTGTTGATAATTTATGCAATAGGTAAAGCTGGAAAGTTATGTACAGTAGAGAACCAATTATCCGGGATGCTCGGGACCATCGCTATCCCGGATGTCTGGATTTCCCGGTTTTCTGGATGGACCAAAAAGTGTCGTTAATCGATGTTTTATCGAACCCGAAGTACAAGGAAAAAGTGTAATGCATAAAGTAAGAGAGAAAAGAAAGGTACTCCTAACTTTAAAAAGAAAAAAAATGGTGGAAATATAACATTTAAAAGAATAAAAAAATTCGCAAGTTTAGACAAGAAAATCAAGTTTAAAAAATACAAAATTCTCATATTTATTTTTTAAAAATAATTACAATTCCTAAATTAAATTATATAAACAAAACCAATGATTAAATAACGCAATATATTTCATAGCTAATTATACGGGGAGAAACGATAAAATAAAAGGAAAACTTATTAATCTAAATAAAAACTCTTGAAAATTTTCGAACCGTTCGTTTCGATAGTTAAAAAAAGGCACTAGCATAAATATTAAAACCCGGAACAAGGCAAAATCAACAGAAATCAAAAAAAAAAACCTAATGATAAAATTTATGAATAAAAAGAATTAATTTATTGAGTGCGAAATTTATCGTGAAAAGAAAGAAAATCAAACATAGTGGAATCAGATAAACAAAACTGTAATCTGCTTCATAAAATAATCCTATGTTTAAATTAATAAACAATTCTCCTTTTATTTTTTTTTTTTTTTGTTGATAAAAACACGATATTTAATTANTATTCAAAAGAAAAAGATTTTATTTTTATTAGTCGATGTCAAATAAATATATTTTTCTCTTTTCTTTTTCTGTTCACTGATATGCATGCAATGCATTTTCCCCACCCCCCTCGTAAATCAAGCAGGAAACGAAATCAGCATGCCACACCCTTGAGTTTGATTGATGGCCTAAAGGAAAAAATAAAACATTCCTCCCTTCCCTGCCTTCAAGGTCACAGAGGAAATGACGTTTCTCTGGGTAAACGGGGAAAAAAATTTTCCCCTTCCTTACATTTTCCTCTACTCAACTTCAAGGATGAGTTCAAATTCCGTTTTTTTCGTTCTAGTTTAAAATGGTGGGAAAATCGAGCAAAATTTTCCCCGGTTTTCTGGTTTCCCGGTTATCTGGATACCGGATAAATGGTTCTCTACTGTATTTGTATTTTAAACAATATTTTTAATACGAATTATGCTTAATACAACCATTAAATACTTGAAATAGAAAAGATGGGAGAAAACTTGATTTAAACTTAGGCAAAATATTAAATGAAATTATAAATATAACAACTCACAAGAACTCTTTATATCCAATGGCTCGGAAAGTGACGGGGATACAGAAGTACCAGACGCATCGACTTGACACTAAAAGGAAATTTACTGTTATTTAGCAAAACAGCACATAACAATAATGAGACTAATTTAGAAAAAAGTTTTGTATTTTTTCTGCCAAAAATAACAGCAAAATACCATCCTATTATTTCCTCAAAAGTTAATTAATGGATTCTATTTAATAACATATTTTCAGAGCCAATCTTGTGTAAGAATGTGATAGTCACTAGAGTAGCATCCTTTCCTGATGCAACATCAGCAGTGAATACTTTAAAGTAAGAGAGCTAACTATTTCTTAAAACTCGTTTTTGACACAATTATAAATTTATATTCGCATTAAATGCAAACAAACACACATACATTAGTAAAACAGGAATTAAGAGTTAAAGCCCCACTTAAGTCAATCAGAGACCCTATGCAATATAAATGATATTTTATTTCACATAAAAAACTTTTCAAGCAGTTGATTTAGTTTAAAAACTTAATATAGGACAGGGATGGGCAAACTTTTTTGGTTGAAGGCAAAAAATCAGAAAAAAAAAGTTTGGTGGGCTAAGTAAAAACTTCTAAAATAGAAATGGGATATATACATTTTAACATAAATATTTAATGACATGAATGAAATTGCGATTTCATTTTTAAAAGTTCCTTAGATTGTGGTTCCAAATGAGATGTACTTATTTTAAGGAACGAGGCTAAATGTCTGTCTGTTAGTCTACTTCCAAAATGATTTTTTCTAATTATAGAAACAACTGCTCAACAATAATATAAAGTTTTTCGAATATGAAATAACTTTTTTCATATTTAGAAATGGTTATATGTAGTTTTCATCCCCGCATCGTGTTTAAGACCCCAATCACTGACAGGGAATGGCTGGGTAGGGCATAGAGGTTAATGTATGTTAGTAGTCATTTTCATGCCAAGGACTAGAAACAAATTTCGCCAATGTGGGGAATCGCAACTTGGCAGTACATAACGTAAAAATATACCCCTTTTCTCCTAAAAGAGTTGACTGCGCGTGCTCGAGAAATCGAAACTGCGAAATAATGAGAAATCGGACTCCTAGCTAGTAATATCGATATCATAAGTAGAAATCGATGTTTATAAGTACTCAGTCCTCAAACGTACGAGTTCTCAGCAGAATATTTTGCAAAAATATTAATATAAAATAAGATGTAGATCCTTTTCTTTCTCACATAATTGCAAAACTTATCCTCCATAGCCGTTTATTTTTCTTGGCTAAATATATTATGACATATTTCTTGCCAACATCAAGAGGGGGTAAATTAGATTATGAAATTATTATCTAAAGATATTAGATATATTAGATTATGAATTATTAGATTATGAAATCTAGTAACTAAAAAATGGGAAAGACCAATTACGCTATTGAAGATGCCGGAGATCCCAGCACTCTTGCCCGGCGAGTGTAACGTTGGAAAATGATGTTTTAAAAATGCGTGTAGGGCAACACAATAACAAGTTCGCTGAGGGGCTTTAAATTGCCACAAAGGCATTTGAAAAAAACTTAAAAAAGAGAGTTGTGGCTGAAGGGACAACTCTTATCCCAAAAATGTACAAGTGAGTCACAACTTTATTTATATATATAAAATAACATGACATTTTTTTAAACTCTGGCTCACCTATGATCACATTTCTAATACACAATCAATTATCTTCACTAATTAACCCATAAGGCGTCAAAACTCTCGTAATTATCGTAGAGAAAGACACATCATTCCATGCCACTGACGTCTTTATGTCCATTTTTTAAAAAAAAGTTTAGCAATATGAAATTGGTTTTCTATTCTTAAATTTTTTCTTTTTTTTTTTAAATAGTTTTTTATTTTCAGAAGAAAAATCTACACTATTTATGGAGAAAAAAATTCAAGTTATCTAAGGAATTAGAAAAAAAATTTGTGAAATCAAGTTTTTTTTTAGCATTGAGTGTATAGGAAATTTGAAGGGAATTTTTTCTTCTTCGAGATATCGAAAAATTCGTGAAATCGAGGTTCGACTGTATTACATATTAATAAAGGCTTGCCTGCTTGTCATGACTTTTTGATCTAAGAATATTTTATTTCGAATTTCAATTGGGAACAAATTTTTTGAGTTGGAATTTTTAAGATTTAAAAATTTTAGCAAAACACTTGTATATTTAAAAGTGCATGCTAAATGCGCATGATGTGCAATGCTCAAACATTAATTTTACTTTATGCTGTATTATTTTACATTAATTCTTATTCACTGACTTATATTTTGATTGTGAGAATCAAGATATGTCGTAATCTGTTAATAAATTCTTAATAAAATTCGTAATTTCTTAATAAAAATAGTATGTGCAACTTTCATAATTTCACTTCATGAGAAGCACAATTTTCTTAGTTTAGAAAAAGGAAGATTGGCAAAATAAATATGAAAATATTTTTTTTAACAGTTTTTTAAATAGTTTTCTTTAAAGTATATTAATAAATAGCATTTTTTAGTTGTCAAAATTGACTAATTAGGGGATTAATTATAAAAAAAACTTGTTAAAATGAAGAAATAATATTTATTTTTATTTATTACTAAAAATCCATTCGTTTATAGTTAAGAAAAAAGGATTAAGTGATTATAAAATAAGATTAAAAATTTGGAATATGATATAGAATTGTTCGATAGTTTTTCTTTTTAACTTATATTTATTTTAACTGAACTTGAATTTTAACTGAAATAACTTCAATATTTTCATACTTCAAAGTATCTGTAAAATACACTTTACAAAAATTATAAAATAGTATTATTACTTAATTGAGATTTCAGTGTTTTAATTTTTTCCTAATTTACTATTTACTATTTCCTATTTAATCTATGAGATCTTCAACGTATTTAACTTATAACATAAATTTTATTTTCAGTAGAGCAATTTTCATAATTATGCTTCATATTATTAAATGAAAGTTTTATTTAAATATTTTAACGGAAAAAAAAGTAAATTAAGGTGAAATTTTCATTATTTCTTTCAAATTTATGAAAAACTGCTAACTGTCAATTATCAACTTCGAGATAAACTTTGAAAAAATAATTAAATGTTAATTTCAACTATTTTATTTCTATCAATGCATTTCACTTATACATTTTTTAATGCAAATAGCTTTGGATAATTCCAACCAAATAAGAATAAATTTTATAATGCAATCCATTTAAGATGCTCTTGCATTTAAAACTCTTTCATTCTTAGGTATTTCAATTTCAAACTTTTCATATGTTAAGTGCGACTACAACTCCGTATCCTTGTTATTTTGAATCTAATCCAGAAGACAAGGGAACTCCTGAACCAAGTGTTAGGAGAAATGTGTTTTCGTTGAGGACGTTTTGATGGAACAAACACGTATTTGTGTTATGTAGAGAGGAAAACCATGAAAATATATACTGTTTAGCCTGACGGCAAGGGGACACTAACCCTTGATCCGTCTACAGCTTAGGATATTTAATCCGCTGAGGATATTGCACAGTGGTTGGTGCAAACTGGATGCGGAATCCGTATCAACCAGCCATCCCTGAGATTTAAAACCTGTTTATCTAGTTTGAAGGCGAACGCTCTTCTCCCAAGCCATCATGGCTCTTATCATAAGATTGAAATATTCAGTTTAGTTAAGTTCAATTTAGTTTTCATTAGTTTGCAGTTCAGTTAAGTTTGAAACCACCGTCATGTTAGTAAAAAAGTTTTTATTGTGGTTTCTAAGAAGTTATTAAGACAGCTTCCTTCCCCTATTTCTTTGTGAGAGAGTAGTAAAAGATTTTTTAATTCTTTTTTGGCGTAAATTTCACTAGTTTTTTATAAAACAAACTTTTTTTACAGATTATTGTATAAAAGTATTTAAAGAGCATTTTCAAATTTTAGGTTTAAGCATTAAAACAAGGCTTAAAAAGTTTACTTAAAAAGTTAGGCTTAAAAAGTTTACTTTTCTAAAAACTTACTAAAACAAGTGACGCAATTATAACTATTATACGATACTAACTTAATATGAAAAATATTTTCAATTTTAACCATGTTTCTATAACCCTTAGATAAAGAGGTATTCACAGCACAGTTTTTGACATCCCATGTATAGAAAACTTAAAGTCTAATTTGATTAAAAGTTTAAATATTTAACCACAATTTTTTTAAAATTTATTAACTTAATTTAGCTATGTTTCGATATTAATAAAGATAATAGTCTTTAAAAATATTAAGATATATATATATTAAAATATATATATTAATATTTTAATAATATTAATTAATATTAGAAGAGGTAATCATCTATAATAAATGTTTGAATTAAATTTACTAGAAAAATCGCTAACAGGAAGAGTAAAATAAGATTTAAAAAATACAAATTTTTACTTATAAATGAAACATGTAATTAAATCTCCAAGCAAGTAATAGTTTTAAAAAATAAATTTTATTTTAAAATAAAGAATTTCTTTCAAGATAAATTTAAATGTAGAAAATAATGTTTCTAAATAGAAATAACGATTTTAAGAAACAATTAAATATTTTTAAAACAAAGAATGTTTTTCAAAAATAAATAATATTCAACAAAAAAAGAATTTTTTTATAAATAATAATAAAAATTTGATCTTCTTTAAATAAAAAAGCAAATAATTAAAAAAATAATAATAATTCCCTTCAACCAATAATGAAAATAAATAATGGCTTTAAAAAATCAATTTAGATTTTTGAAAATAAGAATTTCCTTAAACTTATAAATAATGTTATTAAAAATAGAAATTCGATCAATAAGAGTACTTATGTTTTTAAAAACAAGAAATTCCTATTAAATTTCTTTCAAAAAACGAACTTTTATTTTTAAAAAATATTATTTTTCTCATGTCTCTAACTTCTTGATTGTTGAAAACATAATACTGTTGGTTCCACTTTCAGTTTCAAACATTTTGTTGTCTTTTTTTTCTCCAAGAAATTGCTGAAAAGGTTACAAGCACACCTCCGAAATATGAGGAAGAGTGTCATGCTCTTCCTAGCTATATATTTTACTCTATAAGCTTCA